AATTGGGATGATGACAGGGTATGAAAATTAAAAATCTAATTAGTCCGTAAGTTAGGTAATGAAAAAATATTAGACACGTATTTTTTTATTTTGTCGTATAATAAAACAATACTTAGATAAAACGAATCAAAGTTTAGGAGTGGGGGCTAAAACGTCATTTCTACGTATAAAATGTACATAGAAGTGACGTCACGCGACATTTCAAATCAATATATCGTCGAAAGTATTCGTTTCTGTAAGATAATAAAAAATACGTGTCTAATGATTTAAAATAATCTACCAGACGGACATTAAAATAAAAATTAGGCATCTACCCTATTGTAATATGTGTGCAATAAATAAATAATCTGATTACCTTTTCTAAAGACAGACAGTCGTCCAGTAGCCCGTTCGTCTTATTGTCAATTTTTTCCAAATAATTATGTGATAGATCCAGTTTCCTGTAAAATTATTTAATAATTTGTTACTCGCGAACAACCGTTATCGCCTTTATAAACATAGGCCTAACAGATCTTGGATGAAAGATTACTACTAAAAACACTATAAATAATAATAAATTTTAATAAAAATGTATTATTAAATTAGTTTATGTAAATGTAGAAGTAATAAAAACATTGAGTTGAAAAATTTAAACAGAAGAATTAGAAGAGAGACGCTGACAACATGCCTATGCTAAAAGGGTCACCCAGCACTGTGCACACATTTTCAGTGGGCACCCATGCAGTGACGCACTGTTATATCCCTGATATGTAAGGGTTTATGCTGGGATGACATAAAACTGCATCGTCATCATTATTATATCTTAGCGTGTAAGGTGGCAGCCAGACCCCTCAGTCTGGACAAGATCTCCGAACGGTACGGTTGTATACTCAGTCCTTTAATTAATTAAAATAGTTTTAATATAAAATTAGTTTTTTTTAAAAAAGAAATCCTAAAGGTTTCTCGTAACAGCACGAATGGTAAAAATAAATTTCCGTTCATTAGTCTCGCTAAGTCTCGAGAACAGCTGAACCGATTCGGTTAATTGTCTTGAAGTGTGCATGGAAGTCCCGAGAGAAAAATTTGTTTAGACAGTATGAATTTTGCCGGGCCAGGTAGTAAGTAAATAAAGCTTTATTCATCATTCAAAAAAACATCTGAAGTAAATTGAAATTTTACTCGCAAATATTTTCATAAAACTAGCTTTTACCCACGTCTTCGCTCGCGTAACAAAAGGATAAAAAGTAGCCTATGTGACATATACACACAGCGCCATCTATACCAATGATTTCGTTTTTCCTCGAGAATATCAAATTTTTCCGGGATAAAAAGTACCCTATTATTTAATCCGGACTTCTAACTTTACGTCTGCAAAAATTCAAAGCTATCGGTTTAGTAGTTACGGCGTGAAAGCGGAACAAACAAACAAAGAAACTCACTTTCCGATTTATAATATTAACTTAAAATCGCGGGTCACTCGCGTGAATATACTGAGAAAAGCTCTACTAGTTTCGAACCACAGGGGGGTTCTTCCTCATGAGCAGTGTGCGCGGTGGTGGCGATGTCGCGCAGCCTACTAAATAGTAGAGCTTTTCTCAGTGTCATTCACGTGAGTAACCCGCGATTATTAATTAATTAACTCGTAAAGATAGGTATTATAAGTACATACCTCAAAGCAACCAATCCTTTGAAAGCCTCATTCGGTATATGTCGCAACATGTTGCCACTGAGCGACAAGTCGAGCAACTGTTGCATGCCGTTGAACGATCGTTGCGCAACTGTTGTCAACTGGTTGCGCGACAAATCTAGCTTGAACATCGTCGGTAGATTACCGAACGCTGATCTACTCAGCTCTGTCAGGTTGTTTTCCTGTAAAATGTATTAAAAATATTGTGCATTATGGATTATTATTGCGCCCGTCGAGTCGTGGTGGCCAGCGCCTTTAGCCAAACGCCACTTTAGCGATTGAGAGAGAGATAGAGTAGAAAACTAAATGTATGGAGATGACACTGACAAGTGCCAAAATTTACGTCAATTCCATATAATTTAGTTTTCTACTCTACATGTGTAGGAGAACCTAACGGGTGACCGGGGCTCCGGCTCGACGTGCAGGAGAAGGAATGGGGTAGTTTTTAGTCAGTAAGAGTCTGACACTCCCTCCCGCCTCACCCAGACGGGAGCGGGAGATAATTTACGACGAGAGTAGTTGGTGAAAACGGCCAGCTATCTTAAATTTTAGGCCCAATCCTTAGCTCGTCCCAACTTTAATCCCAAATCCCAAAGTCAAACCTAGTCCTACACCATAGATGGGGCTCAATCACCACAGATGGGGCCCAGTACGGAGCCGCGGAAGGCCTAACGGGTTGTCGGGGCTTCGGATCGGAGAACAGCAGTAGAAACGGGGTGGTTTTTAGTCAGTAAGAGTCTGACACTTCCTCAGCCTTACCCAAGGCGGAAGAAGCCACTGGATGATACACCATCCTCAAAAAAATTAAATTAAATAGGTACAGTACCTGCATGTACAAATACTGCAAACTGGTCAACGTGCTCAATGCCTCCCACGGAGGTTTAGTCAACCCGTTGGCCGACAAATCGAGCGACTGTAACGTCAACAAACTGGAGAATGTATCGGACGACAACGAATCGCCCAACATGTTGGCCGAGAAGTTGAGCCGCAGTAGCGCGTTCATTGTTGGCCATGTGCTTGATTTTATTTCTGTTAAGTTGTTGTAGGCTACGTTTAATTCGCTGTAAAATAAAGCTTTTTCTTAGTTAGAATTCACTCATAATATTTTCATAGAAGATTTTTTTACTTTTAATAATTAAATTAAGTGTGGGAGAGCCATGCTTCGGCACGAATGGGCCGGCTCGACCGGAGTGATACCACGGCCGAGCAGAAAAGCGACGTGAAACAACCACAGCGTCGAGTTTCGTCGTGTCAGTGAGGTTACCGGAGGCCCAATTACCCTCCCCTTCCCCAATCTCCCCAATCCCTGAATCCCCAACGATCCTCAAACTCCTAATCCCCAAAATGCCGGTAACGCACTTGGAACGCCTCTGGTGTTCCAGGTGTCCATGGGCGACGCCGATTGCTTACCATCAGGTGATCCGTCTGCTCGTTTACCGACTTATGCCAGAATTACAAGATTACAAAATTGTAGAATGGTAAAATTACAGAATGGCTTAATTACAGATCGACCTAATTACAGAATTACATAATAACCCAACAATTGATTTACAAAAATACTGAATAACAGAATCACTAAACACATATTCGTCGGGTATGTGACACCCGTGGAAAGAGTAGCGGTGGTCTATAACAAAAAAATTTGCGACTCACCCCAAACTGATAGGTATTTGGAAGAGTTTCTGTAATTGGTTGTGACTGAGATCAATCAGTCGGCAGCTGACTAATTTGGCCAAACTGCCGCGCGATATATCTTTTAGTTTGTTGTGGGATAGGTCCAGTTCCAATATGGTCGGTATTGTACCGAACGTTGCGGGTTTGATCGCCTCCATTGAGTTGTAGCTTAGGTTCAAGAATCTGTGAATAAATTAAAAAAAATAACTTCTGTTAGACAACGAACATCAACTAAATAAACGACATTAGTTTAATCTGTGTTATCAACAGCACTAGCTGTCATGTTGACGCTGTCATCTGTCAAATGTGACAGATTAGTAAATTTTCCCGCGCAAAGAGAGAACGGCCATTCGCGTTGGAAGTTTGACCGAGCAATAGAAAGAAGAAAGAAAAAAAACCATTAATTCTGCGCTCAGATACACATATACTTAACAACCACAAAAATTATAATATATTACGTGTGAATGAGCAAGGTTACCGGAGACCCAATGGGTAATTTTAATATAGCTATAATGGTAGGTACGTCAAAAAATTACAGTCAAATTGGTATATATTATGCAGATGCACTAGCCATAACTGTTATAAAAAAATAATAAATAAAAAATCTTTATTATTACCAAAAAGATCACATTTTTTACATTTCCAGGATCATGACTGTGGCCAGATCAAAAGGGCCCTGACTTCTAAACTAGGAAAAAACCTGTATCTTAGAAGTCAGTGTACAAACGAAATTAAACTATACGAATAAGCCATTGTGATATTGGGCCTCCGGTAACCTCACTGAATTCCTGAATCCCCAACAATCCTCAAACTCCTAATCCCCAAAAGGCCAGTATCGTACTTGTAACGCCTCTGGTGTCCATGGGCGGCGCCGATTGCTTACCATCAGGTGATCCGTCTGCTCGTTTACCGGCTTATGCCATAAAAAAAAACATTACGCTATTTCTTGTAAGAATATATTTAGAAATAAACTATTCTGTATTTAATAACGTAAGATCACGCCTTTTATCTCCGAAGGGGTAGGCAGAGGAGCTTATTATGTCCCTGTACAATATAACACCCACTTTTAACAGACCACTTGCCGCCGTCGCTCTCCTGTAAACGCTCAGTAATCAATAAATCTAAAACTCCGGCACCCCTAAAATCTCCCGATTCTCAGTACCCCTTTAAACTACTCAACCAAAAAAAAAATACATGAAAAAATGCAAACTTACCTAATAGAAAATAGATTTTGAAAAACTGCATTAAAAATTTCACTCAAATTATTGTGTGACAAGTCGACTGTATGCAGTTCGTATAATTTCGGAAATGCCATCTTTGGTATAGATTCGATTCTGTTGTAGGATGCATTCAACACTTGTATGCCTGTCATATTATAGATTGGTATCTAAAACACATGAAAAAAAAACATTAAAATATTAAGTACTTTTAC